AAATCAATTCAAACCGGTAACCGAACCGAAAAACCGATAACCGAATAAACCGAAAATCAAAAAACCGAAAACCAAAAAAAAATTGCAAATTTTAATTGGATGGGATCAGTTTTTGGATGGGTTGATGAAAACCAATCCAATCCAAACACATCCAATATATTAATTTCCCTATACCTACTTGGGTTTTTCCCCAATCATAACCCAAAAATTTCTAAACCCAAGACCCAATGGTATCAACTAAACCAAGAAAAAATCTAGTCACATCTTATCAAATTTTATCTTTGTAGAGCTTCATATCTCATTGCCCGAAAAAAACTATATTATAATTTACTAATGCTTTTGTATTTAAAAAAATATATACATAGCCAATATATACAAAAGATGTTATTTGCATAATAATCATGAAATATATTTTAGTATTTTCAAAAAACCGAAAACCGATTCAATCCAAACCGAAAAAATTGGATCGGATCGGATCGGATTTGAAAAAAAAAATCAAAACCGAATGGATGATTATATGATCAAATCGAAGGGATTGGATCGGATAATTTTTTGTTTCCAAAACCGATCCAATCCAGACCGTGAACGCCCCTACATGACACATCCTATATGACCCAATTCTATAGTATTTCTTCCAAATTTAAAAGCTTGTTTGTAAGCAATAGATTAAATTGAGAAGGGTGGAGAAGAAAGAAATTAGGGAGAAGATTAAGTGAAAATACTTGATAATTTCTTATTCCATACTCACCTCTTTAAATAACTCGTGCAACTGATAAAAATTCCAACTAAAGATATGATAAAATCTAAATAATTTAAATTCTAATTCTAAATAACCTGATGATGAAAATAAAGCTAAGATTCTAATTTAAATGGGTCTTCTAGAAGTTATCTATGATGTAACCCATTATTGATGTTGTAGTCCTTGAAATGGGCTGATATGGGTTTTAAATGGTAAAATCTAAATCTAAATAACCTGATAATGAAAATAAAGCTAAGATTCTAATTTAAATGGGTCTGGTAGAAGTTATCCAAGATGTAACCCATTATTCATGCTGTAGCCCTTGAAATGGGCTGATATGGGTTTTACTCGCTTGGGCCTTGTTATTCTTTGTAAGTAATTGGGCTTAATGTATCGGCTTGCAGCTGCAGATTTCTCAGCATGGTTTCAGGACATGTTTTATATTTTTCAAGTTTATTCAAAATGAAAACAAATTCTTACAAATGATTTACTTGTCAACTCGTCATACCTTTGAACCATTCTCATTTAAATTTTATAATTGTTGAATCGCTTGGCCGATTTTTGTGTATTATGAATCATATTGAATCGTAAAATAATTTAAAGGGTAAAGAATTTCTCCAGTTAATGGAGATAAGTCATCTCCGATGAGCCTAAAACAACGTCGTTTTGGGACAAAAATTATTCTAATATATTGCAGTGTCATATTAGTCTTTATCATTATAATTTCTTAATTTAATAACCTAAAGCACGTCGTTTTGAGTTCACTTGAGATAATTTTATCTCCAGTGACTGGAGAAATTCTTTTCCCTAATTTAAAATATATAATATAATTATGAATAGTATCGAATCTTAAGATACAAAAATATAATAAAACATAATTTAAAAATATATAATATAATTAATATCATATAAATTTAAATTTCAAAAAGGATCCAACAAATAAAATACATAAGTAACTAAAATGCAAATCAGTTATTCTCGTATTCATCAATCACTTTTTTGCTTTTTATTTACATAACGTTCTATTGCTGTAATGTGAATCAATTTTTTTATTGAATTATTTTTTTTATTCTTAAGATTGAAGAGATTTGAAATACTTATTTAAATATTCTCTTTGTTAATATAAATTTTTCATATTGATTTTTGAGTTTAAATCACAGATTAAATCTTTATTTTTTTCAGAGTTGTTCTGTCCTGGAGACAGAGATGTCCAGCCCAATAGACTGGTATGTTGATCTTGGATCTAGTGCCCTCTCCAAGGTATCTATGAAGGAGATACTCTTAGTCAGGCAGATCACTGTGCACAACGAACTAATAACGATTTTTGCCAATAGGGTGTGTGCGCGCACAGTGACAACATAACAGTAAAAGAGATAGCGTAACATGCCTTTAGGGTTTACCTTTTATTTATAGAGGTTACATGTGGGTAATATGATGTGGACCTTCAGTACCTCTGATGAGGGCTCAGGCCTGTCTGCTATGCTGTCGTATTAGGATTAGTATCCTAGTGGGTACTATCCATAATTATACTTGATTTAAATTTTGGATTGCTCCTTATTGGACCTGTCATTCAATGAGCCCCTTATATGGGTCCATAACAATAGTAAAAATTATAAATTTTAATTTAATTTATCTATTGTAAGATACACGATAGTGCGATACTATCCTTCGATACAATATCTTGTCGTTTGATATAATCTCCTTTTCGAAACTAAATTTTAATCATTTTTATTTCGAAGATATTAACACAAGTTGAAAGCTTGTTTTTGATGTTTCCAAGTTCACTTCAACATGTCTTCAAACAAAAAATTATGGGAAATTATACTCTTATGCTACATAAGAGTCTTATCTCATTTTACACTCACATTAAAAGACGTGCCTCTTTTTTCTTTCTTTTTTGTTTTTTTAAAAATTGATGGGTCATACTTAATTTATCTCACAACATGAGATAGCTTCTCTCATACAACATGAGAGAAGTAAAACCCAAAAATTATTACTGTGTATTACGATTCCCTCAAGTAAATGGTATATTGCATAATTCAAGCATTTGAACATGCTGACTTCAAATAATTGATCACTTATTCCCTCATCACATTTCAAACAATGATATTAATTCAAGTAGTAAGCACATTTGAAACTTCACTAATGTTTAAGACGAGGTTAACAAGATCTCAATGTTGGCAAAAAAATTAAAATAATGTATTTAAATTAAATAATTACGCATTTAATGCTGTTTCGTAAAAAATTACACATCTACTACACAATGTGACGCCAATTTTGGGCGTCACGTGTGACGCCCCACCCCAATGGGGCGTCACATGTGACGCCCAAAACTGGCGTCACATGTGTGCTCTATATATTTCCTCACCCCCTCCATTCAATTCACACCTCTTCTCTCACTCTTCATATCTCTCTTCTCCACCAACATTCCTTTATCTTTAATTTAGTATTTGAATTTTAGTTCTAATTCTATTTAAAAATGAGCTCAAATCCTGATTTCGTTCGTGTTGTGTTATATTACAATGGTACGAAGGTAAAAGGTCGACGATGTGTCATATTCGAAGGTGAAAAAAGGCCGACACGTATCTAACGCAACACAACCATTGGCGAACGGCATCAGAGAATTCGGCAGAAGTTAAGTCTTCAAGACAACCAATGTATCACTGAGATCACGACAAGGGTGTGGCAAGGTGATAAATACATTAGTTTGAAAGTGCTTGACGATGAAGACTTGGAGATGACAATGGAAGAATTTTGCAACCAGTCAAGGACAGATTTTCTAGAGTTGTATGTCGACATCGTCGCAACGGAGAATGCTCCCATACCGGTGAGGTCAGTTTATTTAAATTCTCCCTGTCTTCCAGCTTCTCTTGCCGCTCATGCGTCTCCAGTTGGTAACTTTTCTGAGGGAGATGAAAATGATCCGACTTGGGAAATGCACGACGAAGATGACGATGACGACGATGAAAATATGGCAATGGAAGAACATCTTCTGGCACAGGATGCTACTGCTTCAGAAGGAGATGAATCACGTGAGATGGGTGCGTCTGAAATCCTAATATTCCATCAACCAGTCGTCGCGCAAATGCCGCAGTTGAATGACGTTGCGTCTGCTCCGTTTGGTATTCCAAGTGAAGGTAATTATTCTCATTTGTATACTGCGTGAATAAATAACTGATTTAATACCTGAATTAGTAAGTTCGTATTAAAAAATTATAATCCGCAATTGCAGGTGACACAGATGTTATTCCTTTTTGGGAAGGAATTCCGCATTATTCTTACATTGATTGGAGTTATCAGAGCGAACAAGAATCATGTATTGATGGTTCGGTGTCTGGATCGGCTTCAATACAAGGTCTGTGGCAACTGGGTGACATGTTATTTGTCAATCAAGAATTTGCGACAAAAAAAGATGTCCAAAATGGCACTTAAGCACAACCTTATTAGGGAGCATCAAGAAGCCATTGTAATTGAGAGCACGCCTGCAAAGTTGTCCATGAAATGTTGTGCGTACGATCAAGGTTGTCCGTGGCGCGTAAGGGCGATCAAACCGGTGTTTCGTGAAAATTGGAAAATAATGAGATGGGGTGGAAAACACGAATGTGTGAATGAGCACATTTCCCAGGGTCATAGACAGCTCGATGCGGACGTTATTGCAGATCTCGTGATAGGTACCTTTTTGTATTTTAGATGTGTGAATGAACACGAATGTGTAATTAAATTCGTTCGATGTTATCGAGGCACTGATATCCTCTTCAATGCAGGGATGATAAAGTCTGAACCATCTGTGTCAATCTCTTTGGTGCAAGAAAGGATAACTGCTAAATATGGCTTTCAAGTTTCCTACAGAAAGGCGTGGTATGCGAAGCAGAAAGCGATGGCAATTCTGTACGGTGATTGGGAGGAATCGTATGCTTTTTTACCAAGGTGGTGCGAATACATGCTTCGCTTTTCTCCATGTTCATTTTATCATATACAAACTAATGATCTTTATGCCGAGCAGAGCTTAGTTTCTGGAAAAAAGGTTTTTCATCGCATTTTTTGGACGTTTAGACAGTGTTGTGAGGCGTTCAAATTTGCCAAACCCGTCATACAAATTGATGGAACACATTTATATGGAAAGTACAAAGGGAAATTGTTGGTGGCCATAGCCCAAGATGGTAATAATGAATGTTTACCGATCGCATTTGCCATCGTAGAAGGCGAAACTTTGGAAGCATGGGATTATTTTCTCGTTAATATTCGTGCTCATGTGACTACGATGTCAAACATATGTTTGATATCTGATCGGCATCGAAGCATAATATCTGCTGTGGAAAATAACCCTACTTGGCAGCCGCCAAATGCGTATCACGTATTCTGTATTCGTCATATTGCAAGCAACTTCAATCAAAAGTTTCGAAATGAAGATTTGAAGCGGATGTTAAAGAATTTAGGTATACTCATTGACTGAATGCGTAATTATTTCTTTCCATTATGACTGTCAATTTATGTTTAATTCATTCATGTCCAATTTGTGCAGGTTATACTCCAGCAATGGTTGATTTTGAAAGGAATCTTGCGAGTTTTCGTGAAAGTAGTCCTCAAATTGCTGAGTGGATTGATGCGATTCCTAAGGAAAAGTGGTCGCGTGCCTACGATATTGAAGGACAGAGGTACGGTCATATGACAACAAATTTGGCTGAATCTGTCAATAGGGTTTTGAAGGGGGCCAGAAATATGCCTATAACAGCATTGGTTAAGCATACATATAGCATATTGGTTGCATATTTTGTTGAGAGAGGAACAAATGCTCTTGCACAACTTCAATCAGCTCATCGTCACTCCAAAAATGTTGTTGAATTGGTCAAAAAGAACCAGGTAGATGCAACAGGCCACCACGTTCGTGCATACAATGTTGAACATACTGTATTCAAGATTGGCGCAGGTTGGGAGCGTTTATATTCTGTCAACCTCCCACAGAGATACTGCCAGTGTGGAAAGTTTAAGGCCTTTAAGTATTCGTGTAGTCACGCCGTTGCTGCTGCGTTAAGTGTTAGGCAGAGTGCGTTCACTTACGTTGACGACGTCTTCTTGATAACTAACTTGGTCGAGGCTTATTCTTTTCCGTGGGAGCCAATCGGAAACGAGGAAGCAATACCTGAAATTAGTGGTGCAAAGATTATTCCTGATTCTACTATGTTGCGTGCAAAAGGTCGTCCAAAGTCAAGTCGCATCCGCAATGTGATGGATGAAGTTGAGACAAGCCAGAGCCGTATCAGGTGTGGACTTTGCAAGGAACGCGTCCATAATCGTCGGCGATGTCCAAGTCGTGGGAGAAACGACTGATTTGCATATTATGTAATTATTTTGCTGTTGGTTATGTTATTGCATGAATTGTAATGTCCGTTATGTTGGACTTTTTACTTTCCGTTTATGTATGTTTTTTATCTTGTATTATTAATTAGCTGATGCTGTTAGTTACCGTAATATAAATGCGCAAAGAACAATAACCAAAACATAAATAATAACGCATAGTGAATAGTCCAAATAATATAATAATGTAGCGTCCACAAAATAACAACATGCTACACTCATATGACATATACAAAAGAACAAAATAATAACAATATGAAACAGTCCACAACATAGTGAATACTCAAAATGGCAATGAAACTACGACCACGGTGGCCATGGCCTATGTCGTGCATCCCTATCTGGCAGTATACGTCTGTCCCAGACTGGGTCACCCTGATGCTCCTGTGGAGGTGGAGTGTGGAAGTCATCCATCGCCGCACGGATGAAATCATCTGATGGTCCTGCACTGCTGCCCGGCACATCAAAAGGGGTATGTCCCTGACTGTGAGAATCTGTGGCTAGAGTCTCCCCACTGTCATGGCTCTCTGCAACAAGGCCTACAGAGCGATACAACTCCATCGTGTCCTCTGCAGACCAAAAGGGGTAATCGGCATCAAGCCCTATGAATAGGGCTGGAAATCAGGCTGTGAGGATGCCAGATCCACTCCTGCCATAGCCATCGGACTAGCCTGGAAAACTGGCTCCTGCCCGCTCATGTAAGGGTGCTCAGACGCCGCCTGACTAGGACCTGCCGCATACTGCGATCCGTGATGATAAATCGGTTGTGACCCGTAAGTAGGACCAAATGCTGGAGGTCTAAACCATCCCTGAGTCTCGATCACTGGTCTAGGTGCCATAATCAGGACAGGCTCAGCAACAACTCTCTCACGTCTACGTCCTAATCCGCATCCCTCCCGTCTATTACGAGGAACATCCACGATCAACTGAGGATCACGATGTGTCTGCACGGGGGGTGCCTCAGGTCCAGGCTCATCAACTCGTGAACTCTCACGAAACATCCCAATAATCCGGCTATCTCCTCGTGGATATACTGTAGTCCAAATCGAGGAAACTCCTCCGCCGTTGTTGCATGATAAAGCATTTCAAGACCGTCAATCTGCATATTACGAAAAAATGTTAGAAATGTGAAACAAATGTAAAATAAGTACAAAACTCACCATTCGCCCTATCTTTGCTGCCCTCCAAGATAAGTAGCGCTTTCCCCTCTCTCTGTACCACTCCATGTACGCATGATTAGGTGACATCAAACCATATAATGGAGGTGGCAGTACAATTTGCTGAATCCTGGTATTCCATCGATCAATGTGAGCCCTGAGCTTACGTCTCTAGTTCTCTTCAACCTTCCCCCGTAGAGTATGATCATGTATTCCTCTCAATTTTCTAGATTTTTCCGGGATGGGTTGATTAAGACCGAACTGTCGCATGCACCTATCCGGTTGACATGCCTCAACTGTGTGGAAGTAGATAATAGGTGTGGCAGCAAGCCACAGATACTGCTGCTCTGGAGTCACGTCAAGCCACTCATATTCTATATATGGATGCCACACCACCTACAAACAAAATGTGAAACAATATATAGAGTTACAAAAAAAAATAAACCCATAGACAAATAACAACATCGTAAGTATCCAACACCAAACCTCATCTCTACAGAGTGTGTCCAATGTTGCCCGATAATGGGTGACCTCATGAGGTTTAAACTTTTGTACAGCATTAAACCTGTCAATCAGAAACATTATCAACCATACATAATCGTCCAAAGTCAAGAAGTATACAGTTAGTATATACATTATTAACCATACATTATCGAAATCAAATGAAGAAAATAAATCATACCGGCATCCATAATGTGTGCCCGGCTCTGGATGAGGAGGAATGGGTGGAGCAATGGGTGGGAATCGTATCCATGCCCAAATTTGAAGGAGAATATGGCAACCACCCATGTCGCTTCGACGAGCATCTGTCACTTCACACAAATTTCTGAACAAGTGTGTCAAAACTGCAGATCCCCAGCTGAATCGGCCAATGTCCTCAAATCCTCCACCTAGCAACGGGACAAGCCGGCAACCAAAATTGCTACCTCCAGACTTGTCCGCCAGCAACCAAGTCCCCAACATCCGGGCAATGTGGGCTTTTGTGAAGTAGATCTCGGCAGCATGATTCCCCTCATGATCAGTCCACCGGGTATAATGTCAATCCAAGAATGAGATGCGGAGGTCGCCGGAATGATGGAACTCACCAGCCTCTGGAACATGTCCAAAAACAGCAGAACAAGCAGCGTGCCAATCCTCAGAGGTCGATCCGATGACGACAGTACCGTCGGTCGGCAAGCCCAAGATGCCTGCCACATCTTGTAAGGTGATCGTCATCTCACCTTGGGTCATGTGAAAGGTATGTGTCTCTGGTCTCCACCTCTCGACCAGAGCACTAATTAAAAATGTATCTATCTGTGATAAATTACGCAGTTATCACGTGTTAACGAATTTTATTAAATAATTACATAAATACAAAACGACATAAGGATATGTTGCATCCTGGAAACATGTATGAAACCCACCTGTCTGAGGTACTCTTCCACAACCTGTGGAATAGCACCGGTAGGTGGGCCCCCTTGTGGCTTCCTACGCCTAGTCTTAATCTTTCTTACATGCTCAGTATTCCACACTCGCTGTGAAATATGACCTTTCTGCGTCCTCTGACGAAGGACCTCCCACCAGTAGGGTCCAGGTATGATCCACATGTTGGGATCGGTGGGCTCTACATCTGAATCAGATCCCGAAGAAGATGATGACTCAGCCATTATCCTCAACTAACTACAAAGTTATGCACTCCCGCATTAATAACATCATACATACGAAATTTACAAAGTCTCTAACACTATTTATAAATCACTAATTAATATGCTAAACCCTAATACATAATTAAAAATCGGTAATAATAATAACTACGTAATAATAATATTACTATATCATTTCAACATTCATAGCATGACACAAAATTTCAAAGTGACTATCCTAATGTTCCAAGTCTCTAATATACAATCAATCCTAACATGTATTACTAACTAGCACTGTAATTTAAATGTATACATATGAGGTATTATGACCTTACCTACGTTGGCAGAGCTTCACTACGAACCGCGGTTAGAGAGAAGTTAGAGAGAGGTTGGAGAGAGGTTAGAGAGGTAAATGAGTAAGGAGTGAAAAAAGGAAAGTGGGGTATACATAGGTTGCACATGAGACGCCCTCTTTGGGCGTCGCATGTGACGCCCCAGTGGGGCGTTTTCTCTAGGGGAGAGACGCCTCACTGGGGGGGCGTCTCATTGTGCAACAGATATGTAATTTTTAACAAAACAGCATTAAATGCGTAATTATTTTAATTAAGAGTGAATACCCTTTTTAGTCCCTGGAAATATTTGCGAAGCACAATTTACTCCCTCGGTTTAAAAAAGTCACATTTCAGTGTTTCGTTTTTAAAAAAAAGGGACACGTTTATCCTTCTGTTGACGTCGTATTGATAGCTGCCTTGTGTCTAGTTGGATGTTTGGACATGTGACCGTTGTATGAAAGAGTGAGTGACCCAATATAGTCCCTGTCAAATTTAGAACCCTAAATCAGCCTAAGAATAAGAAAAAAACCCCAAAACACATTTTGTTGAAGATTGAATAGAGTGTCAAGTAGAAGGTGTTTACTGGCTATTTTCTGGTGCGTAGAAGAAGATGACTATGTTATCTGGCTTGGGGGATCAAGTTTTCTGGTGCATTTGGGAGTAGAACAACCTGACGGAATTTTGGACGAAGGTGCAAGATGTTGTTTAGCAAGATCTGAGTATGAAGGTGCAGGAAAGAAAGCTATGATGATTGCAATGGTTGTAACAATGAAATGCATTGTACGAAATGTAGTTTTTCTTGAATAAAATTGAATGACTTGTTAACCACTGTGATGAATAATGTTAAGAAGATGCACTTTTGGTCCCTGTATATTGGAACCTAATGATATAAACTAGAACCCAATTTAGTCCCTGGATATTGGACCCTAATGATATAAACTAGAACCTAATTTAGTCCCTGGATTTTTTATCGAGGGCCAATTAGGTCCTTGAAAAAATATATCGGGGCACTTTTTGGTCCCTGACAGTTAAAATTTGGACATGACCTGTTTAGACTAAATTGGACACAAGCTGCAATTCAAAAGCTGTTCATCACAAAGACATAATGCAGCAATTCAAAAATCAGCAAGCTGCAGCAATTCAAAAGCTGCAATTCATACAAGCTGCAATCCAAAAATTGGACATGAACACATTGCATTCAAATTTGTCCAAACAGCAACGACCAAACAGTACCCAGAATTGGACCACCTGCATTGTAGCCAGAATAAAAAAGATTCATACACAAATTAACAAATCAACATACAGATACAGCTTGCAGCAATGGGAAACAACTGATATAAAAAAGGAAGTTGTAGCCAGTTACAATTGCATACCCTTCCATCATAATTAAAGGCTTGTCAAAAAACAGAACCTATGATGGGCACCAGAACCTATGGGGGCACCAAAAAATACAGTCATGAACTTTGTTGCCAATACAATAAAAAAGTGAACCCTTATACAAAAAAACTGTATCCAAGCATGATTCAAGCTGGTCTTGGTGGCCTAAACCCAGGTGTGGCCATGAAAGCCATAAGCCTGCTCCTTGTGCCACTGCTTGTTGCATTGATGGGCTGTATTACTCCAAAACTCAAAAACAATTGCTATTGACATATTCTTAGTATATCATGAAAGGGTCGAGTATACACAATTTCACATTTTATAGCACATAAAACAGAAATACAAAGCCATATAATCATGGCATCTTGTGAATTTTAATCATCACCAAACAGAACTACATTGTCATTACATTTCATTGAAGAAAAAAAACATTTCGATCACTACATTTAATTGTTACAACAACTGCAATCAAAAAATAAATCATC